CTATTAGAAAAAAAATAAAGTTTGATCTATTTGCTTGTCAGAAAGATGAAATAAAATTTATTCAATCTTTGTGACCAAAAAAAAAAAAACAACCTATAAATCAGGAGTTATGGCAAATTGTACTTTTTTATGTCATTTATTGTTTCTTTAAAAAAATGTAAAATATCAAAAGTGTGTCGGGGTCCCCAAGAGACCACTCCATGTTTGAGGAGTCTCTAGAAGGATTCACAGAATTCAGCACATAGTTGTGCTCACAGCTAAGACTTAAAATAGCAATGTAGTAAAAATATAGAGATGATCATAATGGAGAAAGGCACAGGCAGAGTCTGGAGGAATCCACGTACAGGATTCCTTATGGTCACCTCTTCCTATGAGAGTTCCTAAAGAGAATACTCTTCCCCAATAAAGAAAACACAGCGACATGTGTGCTGTTCCTACTCAAGGGAGCCCACTCGAGACTCAGCGTCCAAGGTTTGTACTGAGGGCTGGGCATGTAGGCACCCTCTGCTTAGCATGTACCAGACCAACAGAAGAAAAGTAGGTTTTCAGCATCAACTACATTATGTTGCAGTCTGAGCACAGCGAACTGTCCTTATCAGTTGGGAAATGGTGGGTAAATTCCCAAGACTCAAATTCTTAGACATTAGCCAAGGGCTAGTCTTGCAAGCAGGACTTTCTTATGGCTACATTAACCCTTTTCTTCACAAAAGGACATTTGGCATTCTTCTAATTTATAAAAGACATCATTTAAATTCAGAGAATAAGGAAAATATTTCTAAATGGATTTTTAAACAATTAAAGAATTTCGGGAAAATCTGGATGATGAGCATATCAGATTTAAATACAAAGTAAAAGAGAAGATCCTAGCACAAAGAAGCATTTTTCTTCTTATTGAAAAACACTCTTTGAAAAAATTATGAGCTCTTGGAGATAACTGAGTAAATTCAGCAGTATTTTCTAAATTTTCTTCTGGAATGCTATGGGTTGATGCCTTTCCTCCACTGCCCACTGTAAAATTAGATCATTTATAAATGGAATATCTCGTTATTTTGGGTCATCTGTTAACTTAAATTTGAAAGCAGGGACTGAAATATTCTTATTCTATTGTGTTTCATGTTTAATTATCTTAGGCAATGCCAAAATTCAGCAAAATGCTGCTTTGAGAATGAGCTTGACATTTTCATATAAGTCACAAAATATTTAAATAGTTTACTATTCCAAAGGCAATTTAGATGTCATGAAAAATTACTTAGGTTTAGTAATATGTTTAAAATAATGAGATGTGTGAACTTGAATAGCTACAAGTGGTCTTAAGGCCATAGCCAATGTTATTAAAATAGAATAGGGAGTTTTTTTGTTGTTGTATTTTAGGGCCTTATAAATGAAAAAGCATCCACAATCTGAAACCTCAAGAGTGTCAGAACAATACTCTAATATATTTCAAAGCTCTTGTGAAAATGTGCAGAGATTTATTTAATTGTGCCCAGCATTATCCTCCCTGTTTTGATAAGCTAGAAACCAGATTTGCTGTCCCAGAGGACAATGCCTGAACCAAAGGCCCTCATGGCACAAGGACACACAGTCTTTCCCTTGAAATAAGATGCCACTATATTAAAGAGAAATGAATAAACCCTGGAAGATGGAGTATTTACCACAAAGAGACTGTGTAAAGCCTAAGTAAGATCATTTTAAGCTAGAGGAGACTAAGGTAATGTCAATCGGCAAGTTTAAATCTCCTCCTCTCCATCCACTCCCCATCTAATTAGTCAGAGGGGACAGGGGCTCGAGGGCAACATTACCTCAGTCACAGAAGATTAGAAATTACAATTCCTTTTGTGTTTCTGACCTTTATTGCATGTGTAGTTGCCCCTATGGCACCATCAATGAATAAATCAATCCATACTATCATACGGCATTACCCATATAAGAGGTGACTTGGTTATAAATCAACCCCTGCACTGTGGAGGCTGTGTTCTTGTGACTTTTGATTTAGGGTCATTCTTCAAGTTTCTAAATATGTTTGATATGTTTCTCCTAATTGGTAGTCACAGCTTCTTGGGAAGACTGAACACTGAGATCTTTTCCTAATACCAATGGAGCTTGTGTATTAAGTCAGCCCATCTAATTTGAGACAATCCATCTAGCCAATTTTCTTGATGTGGTACCACTTAACACGTAACTGTATATATACAGATCATTTCCTCCAGGTCATATAGCACAGTATTTATTATATAGGAAAAGCTTAACAAAAATTTAGAGAAGAAAATTATTGAAGAAATTATAAAATTTAACATATAGCAATATAGGGTATTGCATTTGTGTGATCATATATATATATACATATATATACATACATATATATATGTGTGTATATATATATAAAATGTTTGCTTAAAAACAGACAAATCTAGGCTTGAATTCATGCTCTGTTATTTTATAGGTTTATGGATAGGATAACTTAAAATGATAATAGTATAAAAACCTTTCTATAGCATGTAGTAACTGCCAGGCATTCTTCTAATTACTTTGTATATATTAGCACATTAATCTTCACAACCCTAAGAGTATATATTACTATTTTTCCCATTTTCAGTTAAGAAAACCAAGGCACAGAGAAGTTAAGCAAATCATCCAATGTCACACAGCTAGTACATGACAGAGCCAGACTTAACACTAGACAGTCTGGCTCCAGAGACTGCTTGTGGCCACTTCATGTTATTATTTCTTTATATGTTACTTAACTTTCCTGAGTCTCTATTTCTCTACTGCCAAAACAGGTTGATAATACTTTTACATGATTTTTGTAAAGAATAAATCTAATTTAAAAAAAATCAAAATGCCTAAAAGTATTGGCGTAAAGCAGGGACTCAATACATGAGATTTCCCTTCCTCCTTATCTTTGGTCGCTCCCCCAACCAACAACAGGTCAGTAAATCTTTAGAAACCCTAGTCAATAACCCCAAGAGGCTCATTTTCTCTAGGTTAAAAGGCCCTGTGTCCTTTAAAAATTCCTCATAAGAGTCAAAGAAAGCTTTCTTAAAGATGAACAGACATTTCAATTTCATAAATTTCATAAATATGTTAAAGGATAAGAGTTTGAGATATTAGGTTCTTCACTCCTTGGTATCAGTACCCTGCTTCACCAATAATACTGCCACCCTGAGCCTCCCCACACCTGCACCCCAACACACTCTTCCTGTGACCATCGCCCTATGACACAAGTGGCACACATTGGCTTGAGGATGATTAACACAGCTGAATGCAGAATCAGAGGAGAGTCTTGGCTTTAGCTTCAAACGAGTTATTGTAATTCATAGCAGGCTCATCATTGTGAAAGCCAAGGATTCTAGTTCAGAAGATCTGAGTATTTTGAAACTCAAAAGACGAATCTAGATAGGTGACTAAGTTTAACATAAATTGCAGATCCTTTAACAAATAGACTGAAAAGAGAAAAATATGAAAAGCTGCATAACCCAACCCTTGTAAACAAGACAAAGGTGGCTTGGGATGGAGGGAAGACAGCTTAGAAACCTCCAAACTCCTGAGACAGGGCCAGATACTCTGCAGCCTGAGGCTGAGGACAATAGGTTATGTATGGGGGATGATTTCCAATAATCCAGTCAGACATGTTCGAGGCTGTCAAAGAGAAGAGTTAAAGACCAAGGACATAATAAATGCTTTAGAAATTCCATGTGCTCCAGGATGAGTGACAGCCATCAGGTAGAAATGACCAAGATAGGTCTGGCAGTGAGGACCTGAGACAGAAAAGCACAACCTCACCCTGGTTCTCAGCAGCTCAAGTGAGCCTGTGACAGTTTTCTGAGCTCCCTGGGGGAGGTTAGAAGAAGCTGTGAGCAAACTATTGATTGCAAGTGAGCCTGATAATTAATGCGAGAATAAAGGCAGAAGGTAGCAGGGAAGAAATAGACCTACATCAATCTGGTGCTGGGGTCCATAGGACTGTGAGATCTCAGGGAATACAGTAGAAATAGACCAACAACAAAATCAGATAATTTCCATCTCAGCCCATGTCAGCACATGTCAGAAAACAGCTAAAGCCCAAATGTCCCCTCTCCACAGAAGCCCCGTTACCTTGTGTGTGCCTGTATCCCCAGAAGAGGATCACGAACTCTTTGTTAACCAAGTTAAAGACCTGAAATGAAAGAACTCACCATGTGGACCAAATTTACATACTTACTTGAAAATTACTGCTTTTCACCATCAGAGGTCAGGGAGACTTACACAGGGAGTACATTCTATTTATAAAAAAGTAAATTTTTATAGAAGCAAGCTGTGACCTGTGAAAATACATGCGTCTTCTAGTCTGAACAAGACAGTGGTAGCAAATGTATTTGTGAAAGATAGCTGCAATTGATTAGCACAACTGATGACACTTCTGTCTTCTATGCTCATTCCTAAGACCATTAGCTTCTTAACTCTTGGCAAGTGTAAACTTCTGCCTCTAAGGTCACTGATACCTTTCTTTCACCCCCGATGACCGTGGACATCTGCTTCTCTCTGAAGCACTCAGCCTTTTTGCTCAGTTCCTCCCCTGCGCTTCACATATTTTCCATGATATTCCACTGACTACTCGTCCCCTTGACTACTCTCGGAATGGTGTCTTATCCTCCTTCCACTTGTTTACTTCAAGCGATTCTCAAAATATTCCCATCACATTTCTCTGTCTTCGATACATTACTTACCCTCTGCCATTAGTATCACCACAAGCAATGTTTCCTCCACAAGCAGCCTCAAACTCTTCCAAGGCGAATGTGTGAATTTCCATTTGCCCCAATCTGCATTGGAATTCCCTTAGATCTTTGCCTATAACTTTCTTACAGCACTTATTATAATTTTTTATTGTTATATGTATTATTCACTTATTTTATCATCTATGCTAGAGCCTACATTTATATATTATAAAGTAAACATCTAATTTATCTCCCTGTTTCCCTCATCTCCCAAATCTTCCCCAGGATATAACCAGATACACCATTTAGTACATGTTAGTCATTTAAGATTTATTGAGTAAATCAATTTATTGGGAATTCAAGAGCAATTGTGGAATTAGTTGTATTGGTAATATCTATGAAAGAAGTATGCAACCACATATTCAAGGATTCTGATTTATCTAGCATACCACAGTGGTTAACCTCAGTCTCTAGAGCCAGAGTGGGTTTGAATTTCAGCTCCTCCTTAAAAGCTATGTGAGTGTAGGTAAATTACTTATTCTCACAATGCTTTAGCTTTCTCATCTGTTAAATGGGAATAATAATGTCTACTTCATGGGATTGTTTAGACAATGTTAAGTGCCTGAAAGCACTTAAAGAGTGTCTGGCACATAGTCACACTAAAATAGGTACACTACAAATATTTTGCAAATTAATAAAAGTACCCATTCCCTAAATATTCCCCTTTCACAAGCAACTCAATTTTGAGCTTACCTGAAATGAATCTCTGAAAGTTTGCTTTCAAGATATTAAAAAGGTATTAAAATTGGAAGTAATTAAACTTGTATTGCCTTTAAAGCCCTGAAATAAGGTTAAATTTTCAAGGAAAAAATGGCTCGACATACAGATAAGAGATGGCAAATATTTATGTCACTATCCCACTTCCTTTGCCATATCAGACATTACTCATTAATCATAGCATTGCTTAAGTCCAGATGTGGCCTTAGACTTGCTCTTAACACAATAGTCCTGGATAATCTCTACTAGTTATCCTAAGGACAAAACTAAATTGTGACTGGTCTGCTGCTTTCTTTAGTGTGAGGAAGGCAAAGGCAATCACCAATTTGTTAAGTTATCATAAGTAATTATATTTTTAACTAGAATACTGTATTTAAGGTATTTAAGTGTGATTGACTTTCAACGCTTCTCTATGAAATTATTGTGACTTCTGTTTCTTTCCACCTAAGGTCTGAGGCAATCTACTCTGTTCATTCACTCCTAGAAAAGAAGGTATGTGGTATGCAGAATTCTGAGATGACTTCCAAGATTCCTGACTCCTTATGTACATGCCCTATACAATTCCCTCCCCTGGGGTGTGGGTGAGATTTGTGACTGTAAGTGTCACTACTGAGATTAAGTAAGGTTATAAGACAAAGATGAAGAGATTTCACAGATAATTTTTCAAGAAAAACTCAAGAACAAGTATAACTATTATTATGAATAATAACATTAGCAAATTGGTAAAATCAATCAAGCAAAATGAATTCTGAATTCTATATAAATCCATAGATATACAATCCTTGTTGCTGTCTTGGGATGGCTGTCTAACTCCAGTGTCGGCAGCTTCTCATCCTAGAGAAGTCTTTGATGTATGTAGATAAGGGTAGATGTGTCTATTCGTAGGTCTCTTCCAATGAGGTTGGAGAGTGTCTTTTATTTTATGTCCTTTTTAATAAACAAAATCTCCAGGTGGCAGTCAATGATCTTTAAAGTCTTTGTCACCTGGAAGTTCACTGTGAAAGCAGTTACCAACTTAGCATTTTCTTGAGGTGACTCTATCAAACCTTGGCAACAGTGTAGGATGTCTCCTTCCAATAATGTCAGATCATAAGTTCCTTCATTTAAGTCCAGCACTGTGATACATGAAGAAATGCAGAAATCAGAAAAATGAGGAGCCAGGGAACAGAGACAAACCAAGCAGCCATCTGGGGTTTTCCATACCCTGACTATACATTTAATTTATAACCATTGTTTACTCATACATTATGCCCTAGAAATTGTCCTCATTTGTTTTACAATGTTTCCCAAGGCCCTTTTGAAATATCACAGAGTTGTTCTTACATATATTGAGATTTTATTCCTTAAAACCTTGATGTCTAATGAAAACTAAAAGTAATCAATTAGTATTTTTTATCTTGGACATTTTATACCCTCTAGAAACATTTTTCAAAGACATAAAAGTCAATTATTAACATGGATTTTTTTTAAACTCAGGCACTATATAGATATGTCTGTTTTGTTTAAACCAACAAACTTATGCTAAATCTTATTTACTAAAAACTAATTTAGATCACATGAACTTGAAAAACATTTGAGTTAGTTTCTATATCTCTTAGAATTTTATGATACCCAATTCTTATAAGTACTTGCATTTAAATTAATTTTAACAATACCATTTGAAGGTAGAAAATTATCTCATATTTACATCATACAACATATGTAAACATACACAGGCAGACACAAACGGAGAATAGTTGGATCCAAATTTTGTTTTGGAGGAATTTACAATTTATATCTGTCCTTGACAAGTCATGTTCCAAATGATCTTCCCCCTTTAAAATAAGGGCAGCTGCTTTTAATGCTTCAAAGAATTGGGTTAATACCTAAACATCATCATAAATTGATCTATTTACTTAAAATTTCTTTTTGAAGCTTCCAGAGACCAATTAAATGTTTTCTATTCTTTCTGCCTAATTTTATAGCTGGCTTTTTCTAATTGTGCACACAAAAGATTAATTTAGAAGTATCAAAGGATCCTCATCTTGGCCATCTTAATACTCATGGGGCTGTGGTGGGCCTTATTGGCCTAAGAAGCACTATTTCCATGTTAATTTTGAGATCTATAGATTCTGTAAAACTTCTAGGGAAAATCAGCCTTTATGGACATGTCTCCAGGTGTGTTAAATGTGATGAAGATCCCCATAGGACTGCTTTACACCCAGAAGGAAATTCCTCCTCAGTTATACCCACAAAGAATACTCAAACAAGTGTCAACAAGAGCTTAAGAGACTCTGCCAGAACCGCAACACTTTCTAAGGCATGTGCCCCTTTCTTGGGCCCCTTTCTGAGGGTGAACCCATTCTAGGGTGCCCTGCCCTATCTTCTCTCTAAAGAGAATTCAGTCTCTCATTTAACCATCAGAGACTTTCAGTAAGCAATCCAATTAAAAGGCCAGAGTTAAAAGCGGCAACCCATTTTTGTTTTCCTTTCCCTGGGTTATCTCAACACTTATCTACCTTGAAGATTTTTTAAGGACAGCTCAAATAAAGTCAAGGCCTCCTACTTAAAGCCAGGAGGCCCCGAAGGCTGAGAGAAACTCACCCAGGTTCATCCAATGCAGAGTGGGGAGCCAGAAGGCAAGATGGGCTTGTGCTGGTACTGAGCATCAGGTGCAGGTCTGCAGGGTGGTCCTGGGTGGGCTTCTTTGGAATCCTGCAGACTATTCCAAGTAAATGTTGATGTAAGAAGAGCACAAACCTGTAGAGAATTTTTATAAGAGTTTCTTTGAGCCAAATTGACAACATGTGCCAGGGAGCAAGATCTCAAATTCTCCTGCAGATGTTATTAAAGTCCCTAATCAACTGAATTTTAAGTTCATCTTCATGGGTGGGCCTGACCTAATCATATGAGCATTTAAAAAATGAAGAAGTTAGAGACTCAAAACAGTAGCAGATGCTCTCATGTTGGCCTTGAAAGAGAAAACTGCCATGTTGTAGATAGGACCACCTGGCAGAGATTGATAGACAGCCTCTGAGCTAAGGGCTTCAGTCTTAAAGGAACTGAATTCTGCCAATCAGTCAGCTTAGAAGAGGACAGTGAACCCCAGGTGAAATGCAGCACCAGCCAACACCTTCATTGCAAGTTCATGTGACCCCGAGAAGAGAATCCCCCTAAGCTACACTGGACTCTTAACCCACGGAAACTGTAAGATAATAAACTTGTGTTGCTTTTAGCCACTAAGCTTGTGGTAATTTGTTATGCAGCAGTGGAAAACTAATACAGTGCCTTAAACACTGTTCCTTTGTATAAATTATGGGCTTTGGTTCAGTCTATGTAAATGTTTACATTTACTTAACTGTAATAAATAGTCTAGATCATAGCAAATCACCTTTCCTAAATGAAATTTTCATATTTTACCATAGCAGAAAGAACAATATAGAAATTCTTTTAAATGATTTCGGCTCCCTAAAAAATTGAGCTGTTTGTCTCTTGATGCGATCTTGAAAATCCCAAATATAAATTGACTTTGACTCCTGCCAAATTGTCCTCTCTTAAAAATTTAACTGTTAATCCTATAATTTTGTCAAATGGAAAAAGAAAAGTGAGACACTCCAAAAGACTTCGTTTGAAAAAAAAAGAAAGAAAGTTCTCTCCCTCAGCTAGAATGATTTAAAGTTAAATCTCTGAGAATTAGCACCACTCACTTCACCAATCTGGTTTAGGCCAGATTGCCGTCCTTCGTTCTCCTCTAGCATTCTGATCCTGACAGGATTTTTAAAAATGTGTTCTAATTCTCATGAGATTTTCTCTTGGGGTCAATTTCTCATAACATCCTAAGTAAAGATTTTAGGTCAATTCTTTCATAGAAACATAGACCATGCTTAGAATTATAGGGACACAATCATAGGTTTGACTCAAGAAATAACCCTATCTCATTCATGGATCTCATCTCTGAAGTATCTGTTTTAACATTTCTGTCCTCAGGGGGACTCACTGCTCCCATGTCACTCAATCTCTTCCAGTTTTAGATGGGAATTATGCATGTTACTAAAAATTATTCCTTTAAAAGTTCCTAGTCTAACTAAAAAGAATTCCATATTCGGTGATTAATTATAATGTTGGCAAAAATATAGGGCATAGAAACTCATTTTCTTATCTATTTCCACAAGAAAAAAATGTTCAGCTTTTTTGACCATTGCTTTCATTTCTATTTTCTCACCTGGCATCATTCTCAGACCTTGTGTGAGCCATTCCCATGCCCACAACAGGGCAAAAATAGGAATACTGTGAGCTAATAAGTAATCTAGTAACACAGCAAGCTGCTAGTATAATAATAGGCTAATTAAATAATTTCCCAAGGATCAAACCAATAGATGATGAATCTATCTAGGGTAGGTATTAACTAAAATTTCTAAGTTCTGTGATAAAAGCACCTACATAAATGAAAACAGGGGCCACTGAAGGCTACTTTCGTACACCAGGCAACCTAACTTTTTAAAGGACAGTTCAAAGTGAGAGAGGCAAGAGCACATCTGTCACATCCTTTTGGCAATCATTCCTATAAATAATATCTGTTTAACATCTGTTATGCTCAGGGGAATATACTTGGTACCTTATGGAATGCAAGCACTTATATACTACATTGGAGACAAAGTGTGATTATAGAAATAGTTTAATAAAGATGAAATTGATGTATCAACCCAATACAAGACAGCATTATGAAAGAGGTCACTGTGCAGTACATGATTATTTCATTCATTCCACCAATGTTTATTGGATGTTCATGGTCTCTTTCTCTGAAGGGGTTTTAAAATGTTCAAGGTAGTCCTAGTCCTCTAGTTCTCCAAGTGACAGTGGTGTGGTTCTGGTCATCAGCATTCAGTGTTGAGTGTTCTTTCCATGAAACTCATTAGCAATGACTGTATATTATTTTGTATAATGTTCATTTGAGTGGTGTTATCTTTCACCTCTGCTATAAGGCTAGCCCTATTTTTCTTTTTAGCCGTTTCATTCCTACCATTTGTGAGAACATAGATACTTTTGATTGGCTAGTTTTATTGTCATCAACTGAGGTACACATACACCTTATGTTCAGTTAAGAGCATAGCCACTATTTATTGAATGCCAAGCACTTAACACTTATCACCTTTATTTCTTATTACAACCTCGAAAGGTGAATATCACAATTCCCATTTTACAGGTGATGAAAAAGAGGTTCAGAAAGATAAATGACTTACTCAAGTTTAGAAAGGAGCACTAAATTTGGAACCAGATAATCCGAATTATAACCTTGTGAGTTGTGTAATTATGAGTGAATGACTTACTTTCTCTGTATCTTGATTTCTTATGTAAAGGAATGAATTACTTACTTTCTCTGTTTCTCAATTTTTTTTTATGAAAAGGGAGGTAAAAAGTACCTATCTCTTTGTGTTGTTGTGTGAATAAAATGAGATAATAGACATGAAATTGTAAAACATCATCATCTGAATGTAAGTGTTGCTGCTGTAACTTCTACATAACTAACACATTAGATTTTTTTAATACTGTAAATTGTGCATTATTTCAAACAACAAGATTAAAAATATCTCTGTAGCAACTCATTAACCTGTTTAATGATATGTTAATGCTTTAGCTCAATTTACTTCTATGGCTCAAAAGAATAAAAATGGTGTCATTTTAGAATATTCTGTTAGTTGCAAAATAAGAATTGATCTGTCCCTGGAAACAAACAAACAAAAGCAATTCACATCAAAATCCAGAATACTTTTTTGTATATCTCCTTGCTTGAGCCTCAAAGATATAATGGAACTAGGATAGATCCATTAAAGGATATTAAACTTTAACAAACACACATTCAGTGCTCACTCCATGCTAAACATTAAGGTAGACGTTAAGGAAACTGAGGTAAATAAGGCAGAGTCCCCAACATCAGCTAGGTCCTGCCTAAAAATAAGCTGCTCATTTTGAAGAATGGATACTCTACTGCTAAGTCTCAATATACAATAAGAATAAGAAAATCAGAAAGTCGCCTTTTGGCTTCCATATCATAAGATGGTTGTATTATTAGTCTACTTTATGTAATGAACCCAAACTTATAGAATCTATTTCTCTGATTGGCTGTATTTTTTAAGAAATAAACACCAGCATAAGGAGATTTTAGACAACTCATAAATAATAAACAAGAATTAGGCTGTAAAACATGTTAGCGTACATCACTTAGCTTTTGAGAGTAATGTCGTGAAGTCTATTCAGGCCCTTCTACAAGTCCCAGTTCTTCTGTCAGTGACAAAGCACTGTCTTGACCAATGCAAAAGAATAATGATGATTCTTTTAATTGCATATTGTCTTTAGTTATGAGTGATATTAGGAGGCTTAGCTAAGTTATTTCTCTCCATTTCAAAATCAAAGAGAAGTAAAAAAAATCCAAAACCTTTCAATATTAAATGGTCTCCAAAAGTACCTCAGAAAATATGGCAATAGTTTAAGAAGTCAAATGATCAGTGGTGTAATTGCCTATGCTTACACCTGGAGGTACAGTAGGCTGAACAAGCTGGAAGAAGAGGGTGAAGTTTAACAATGGTATATTCTATCAAACAAAAACATATTTGTTAAGAAGAGATTATTTGCATTATCGATTTGAACTTCTAAACTGCTATTTCTTTAAATGTGTATTTTGCTCAGATTTTGGACAGTGTTATGCCCTGTGGTCAACATGCTAACCATTGCACAACTCCAGGGGTCACCATTTATATACATAGACAATAATGTAAATGTCACCCCTTGAAGTTACATTACATAGTAGACCTATTCTATGTGTAAGAGGATGGGAGAGGAGTGAGATGGGAAAGTGTTATAAGGAAGGCCAGAATGGTGTTTGAGAGGAGGAAGGCCAGCAGACAAGCACCATCCAGCATCCTTGACTTGAGCACTTAATCTGGAACTATACCAGGTATCTACATATAGCCCCAAGTTCCTATGGGAGGTATATGTAGATACCTGGTATAGTTTTCAAATACAATACTTATTATTTTGTGTCACTTTCCACGGCGTTATGTTAGCATCATTATAAAAATCATTTAAAATTAAAAGATTTCATCTTAACATTTTAATTTCTTAGATTTAAATTAATTTGAAAATACATACCCCTAAAGTGAGGAACATCTATAGAACATATTCAAAATGTTCTCCAGATGCATACTGAAATTCTTCCTTACATGCTTTTCTGCTTATTTTGAAACAATTTTAGAAAGGTTTTTTAGCTTTAAAGAAATCTGTCATGCTGGTATCACACTACATTTGTTATATTAGATCACACATTTATATTTCTAGAAACTCCAAAAGTTAAATCAAATACATCTTACCTAAACAAGTCAAACACTGTCATTTCCATCTTGACCAGGACATATACCTGTTTAGTTCAACACACACACACACACACACACACACACACAATGTGAGTTTTGAATTCTATAAAGTAATATGCTTTTTCATGGTATAAATTGAAGTGAAGAATGTTCAACTAATGACAAGCAAATAAAATAACACATCTATCACACATTTTTATGGTTTTTCAAAAAAGTGTTCTTTTCCAAATAGACTCTATTCTCACACATAATCAATATGAATGGCATCTAGTATATTCATTCAGAAAGCATGACATTCATTGGTCAAGAAAAGTTTAGTTCTTGAAATAAAACTGGTGACTAAAAATAAGAGTAAGTATATTTAAATTAATAATGCTAGTAAAACTTTAATTA